TTTTATCCTAATGAAAAGCGAGAAATAATTACTCAATTCATTAATCTGGCTAAAACAAAAGTAAAACCTATCCCTTTAATCAAACCTCCAGATGAGTATAATTTTTTTGACATAATGAAACGTATAAGTTAGCATGAAGCTTATAAAAAAGAACCGACTATTGCTGAACTCAAAAAAGAAGTAAACACCGTAAAATTAGAAGTTGCTTAATTAAAAACTAGGATACAAATTCTTGAACTTCAAAATGAAACTCCAAGAATAGATACTGATAATGATTCTATTGAATTTGATCACTTGATCAAAACATATCATCCAAAACATAGAGATAAATGTGAGTCATCTACTCGTAAATCTGTAAATGTTTTGAATAAGGTTATTACACAAAAATGGTTCGTCTTAGTAACAATAGTCATCAATGATGAATATGAATTTCAATCTTTAGCATTAGTAGATTCAAGAGCGGATCTCAACTGCTTAAATGAAGGACTAGTTCCTACAAAATATTTTGACAAAACAATACAAATCTTGAATACTGCTGATGGAAGCAGATTGTTTATTAAATACAAACTCTCAAATGCTAAAATCTGTAATGAAGGCCATTGCTTCCTAACTACTTTCATAATGGTCAAAGGACTCTTTTATATCCAATGACTATTACTCATACAGGAATTGAAACAAGGATTCATAACACTTTTATTAAATTTGAATTTCTTGATAAACCAAAAATCAAATAAATCAATACGGTTAAAAATCATATCAAACAAAAAGAAGAGTTTTTAGGATCATTACAATTTGAAATCAAACACAAGATTGTTATTGAAAAACTCCAATCTGAAGATATGATACAAAAAATACAACAACTCAAAAGTCTTATTGAACAAGAAATATGCTATGAATTGCCAACTGCTTTATGGAACAGAAAACAATACATTGTTGGATTACTATATGAACCTGATTTTAGTGAAACAAAAATTCCAACAAAAGCTAGACTTATCCAAATGAATACTGAATTACTCGAATCATGTCATAATGAAATTAAAGATCTACTTCAAAAGAAGCTTATTCGTCCAAGTTTATTTCCATGGAGCTGCTCTGCTTTTTATGTCAATAAAAAAGCCGAACAAGAACGTGGAGTTCCACGATTAGTCATAAACTATAAGCCTCTCAATAAAGTATTGCAATGGATTAGATATCTTATTCCCAATAAAAAAGATTTATTAGATCAATTATTACATGCTGTCATCTTCTCAAACTTTGATTTAAAATCAGGATTCTGGCAAATACAGATAAAGGAAGAAGATAAATATAAAACACCTTTTAATGTTCCATTCGGACAGTATGAATGGAATGTGTGTA